AAACTAGATTTTAACATCTAGATAAATTGGTCTGCTTTCCTCTTTAAAGGATGGAAATGGGATATTTTAGATAAAAAGAACTTAGAAATAGTTTTGTGAAGAACTAAAGGGGTATTTTTTAGATGAACTATAATAAGTATCACACACCATTTCTCCATGTGGTTCTACAAACTCTTCTAAGCTTCTTCTGGACTCATGAGTAACAGGATGAAGTCAGTTGTTTGTTTTTGTTGGTATAACTATCTTGTTAGACTTGTGCTGCTTTGTCGATTTGATTTAATTTAATGCTGGAATTGTAGCACATGGTTTTGCTATGGACCCTACACTATTATAAAAAATAAAATAAACATCTTCAAGAAGTTTTAAATCTCTTATTTGTGAGATCTATTGTTTCCATCATCTTATTTTGATTTACAATAAAAGAGACACTCAAGGTACTGTCTGAGTAATGACACAGTAACAACACAGAATGCAGCGCAGAGGCAACTACTGGGTCATACTATTTACTAAAGTAAGGTGCGCTTACTTTTATTTATACTTTGAATTGTTTTGGTGAAGTAATTTGCAAAAAAACCTTGCCAAAATACAATTTAAAGCTTTCATCTTTTAGAAACTGAAGACAGCATATTCATAACTGTTACAGTTTGTCCAAAATCCTATTTCAAATAACACAACATTGAAGGAAAAGTCCAAATCTACAGTGTGTGACATCACAGGACAAACTTAACAGGACAGGATTTTTTAATGAGGCTAAAAGATTTTTATTTCGCTCTCATGCCCACAAATTTGTAACTTTGTAATGACTCTAGGTTTTATGGTTTTCCTTAAAATCCCTCCAGAGCGCCTCAATGTCAATCCATTTCAGCCCGTTTTTACATTCATTTCCAGCAAGCTACCAGCAGAAAAGCCGCTTTGACAAACTATTTTCCCATTCAATTCAGTTTATCGATATAGCACCAATTCACAACACACGTCATCTCAAGGCACTTTATAGAGACAATTCAACCAGATCTTACAATCCGAATGGTTCAAAGTTTTCTATCAAACGTCGGGTATACACCGTACGATTTTTTCAATCGTTGCACGCAGCTACAGTTCACACTGTACGGCTAAACCGCAGGGTTTAAACGTTAACAGCTCCAAACGCTCTGATGCGATCTACCTGCTCACTGTACGTCTAAAAACCAGGTGGGACTCAGCTCCGCAGTGAGATGGCGCTACTGGGACTCGTCTATCTGAAGCCAAACCAGTAGCAGAGGAACATGAAGCTCACTAGAGTGAAACGCGCTGCCTTGGATATTTGGGCAATTTAGTGCTGAAAGCCCTAAAAAGAAAAGGAGACGACGGATTTGACAAAGACATGGCTGAGCTAACATGGCTACTACGGTCTGTCAGTTTGACAGATTTGTCCACGACTACCTCATGACCGACTGAATTTCAAACATGTTTGATTCTCCCAACCTTAAAATTCCTGATCAAGAGGTGGTGGTGAGAGGCTGATTGCCCCTCGTTAGGCTCGTCAGGCTGAGAGTCAGACCGATCGAGAAGGGCAAAAAATCGCACCGTGTAAGCCCTTCAGGGAACCCAGCTGATTATATCGACATATTGACTCACACAAAGCATGCTTGTAGCGACAGTGGAGAGGAAACAAAATAACAACAAAATATTCAAGTCTTTCTAAAAGAATATTATGATCAACTGTATCAAATGCAGCACTGAGATCCAACAGGACGAGCACAGATACAAGTCCATTATCTGAGGCCATGAGATATTTTTTTTTTTTCGTAGAGAGCTGATTTGTTTGGAGGGATTTTTACGACATCTCAAAATTGATTTCCGAATAGAAATCAGCAGAAACGCAGGTGTGACAAAAATATTTACCATCATCCTAAATATTTTTCTGAATTTCACGTAGACATGAAATGAAACACAATCGAGGAGAAGGGACGGCTGTCAATCACGGTGAAACTATTGCTTTAAAAGCTATTTCTGATCTTGGTGCTCATTTGTTTAGAAGTGTTTTGGAGATCTGGCCGATCATCTTAACATGGATCTCAATGTAATCTAACCAGACAAACAGGTTTGACAAACATTTCCATTCATTAACCTTGTTGAATAGAATCAAATAGAAATATAGAATTCAACTTTATTGTCGTTAAACTGCCAAAGCAGAAATGTAGTTTAGATCATTTAAATCGAGTGGAATAACAATCGATAACAAGGAAATGGATTCCATATCACTGCTGGGTCTGACACTATGCTTAACGCACAATCCTGCTAGACTTTCAAAATAAGAGACCTGGTATTCCACAAAATAAAAGCCTCTACATTGTTTACAGCAATTCGTTGCATTCATCTGCCTCCTCAGAAGTTCTGCTTCCTGTGACTGTTGGGTCACTTAGTCATAGTCTGTCAGCCTTTCTGGACTCAGTGGCTGATGCTGAGTTTATGGATGGGGACCTGGCCGGGCGACTTGGCATTAAACTACTTACTTCACCAGACTCTCAGAAGGTATTAGCCTTGGATGGGCATCAACTTAATCCGTCTTCTCTCATGACAGAGCTGGTGGAGCTTGTTGTGGTTGGTAACCGTGTTGAAGAGTTATCATTTCTTACACCTCAGGTTCCTGTCATTCTGGGTTCAACTGGCTAACCAAACCCAACCCACACATTGAGAGTGGAAGTGTTAGGTTGGGCTGCTTCCTGTTTAAGCTCCTGCCTACGTTCAGCTAAGTCAGAGTTTAGCTAACTGTGAGGATTCTGATTATTATCCTGATCTTTCTAAGGTCCCTGAGGAGTATCGTGACCTCCGAGAAGTTTTTAGTAAGAGTAAGGTCACAGCCTTACCTCCACACAGGCTATATGATTGTGGGATATATTTACTGCCAGGTACCACACCCCCCATGGGTAGATCGTATTCCTTCTCTTCCTCTGAGTCTCAGGCTATGGAGAAACACATCTCAGAGTCACTGAGAGCTCGTCCCTCATCTTCTCCTGCTGGTCCAGGCTTCTTTACTGTTGGAAAGAAGGACGGATCCCTCAGGCCACCCACCCGATTCATTGATGGGGGGCCCTGCCAACACAGTCAACCGTCTCCTGGTCTAGAAGGAGATGCAGAGGACTCCAGTATTTAGTTGACTGGGATGGAACTGAGGAGAGGTCTTTGCTTCCAGCCCGATTAATCCTGGATAAGGAACTGATTAGGGCTTTCCATAGGGATCACCCTGATCCGCCTGTTGGGGTGTCTGGAATCCGACCATGAGGGGGGGGGTTCTGCCATAATCTTGGTGCTGATGGCTGGCTTGATTGTTTGCTCCTTTCACCTGTCTAATTTGCCCAGTTGTTCATGACCGTTCATCTTATCCACCTGGTTCCTAATGCTATTCATGCTGCCTGTTTGCCTGCCATCAGCGCCAGATTATTCCAGCTGTTTGTGAGAGTAACGCTACAGATTATATATCACTCTGATTCTCAGATGCTGACCTGTTTCAGCTTATGGGACTTGCAGGTTTTGCTTTGCCCCTGTCTGTGCTCTGTTAGTCTGATCTGTTCTGGACTGATTCCTGGATTCTGCCGGCTGACCAAACTTGGACTATTCTTCTGACTTGGATTCTCCTCTGGTACCTCCTCGACTCTCTGATCTTCTGGTCTGATAATCTGATTCTGCAACGACTCTGGCTTTGGATTTCCCCTCATGGAACTGCTGCTCCTCGCCGTTTGCATGACGTCAGCTCATTAACCAGCTCTGTTCGTCACTCAAAACTCTGGGGGCAGCTTCCACCACAAGCTGTAGAAGTGAATTCGCCCCAGCTGACGAGCAGCCGCACGTTTATGATTTAATAAACGCTTGTTTGAAATCACCCTGATCTGTCTGCTTGAATATCAGGTCCTAAGTTCACAGCTTCTGACAGTCTGATTGGTTTGGATTTCTCTTTATTCTTAAGAAAGGGAATAATAATAAAACAGTTAAATATTTTATTGACTCCACGCAATGGGGTTAAATCCATCTGAATCATATGAAACATGGGTGCTGAATAACAGAGAATCACACGGGGAAAATTGTTTTCAAAAAGTCTCTTGAAGAACACTCAGAAATTACTGGTTCCTTTTGGTTCAACGTTCACTCTGCAAGCCTTAATGCAGAAAACTGAGTCTTTAGGGAATGCGTTTTCTGTGCGTATGTTTAGTGGTTCACCTTACCTTCATGATGTCCTGTATCTGACAGTGTGAACTCAAACAGTTCACAGTGTGAACTGTTTGAGTTCACACTGTGAACTGTTTGAGGCTCTAAATTTTCCTGCACGCCAGTAAAAAAAAATAAAATGTCACACGCAACACAACAGTTAACAGAGAAAAATAAGTGTTATGTTTGTTTTTTTTTTACTGTATCAACAGGTTTGTGAAATGTCTGAATACGTGTGGCATTTTAGGGAGATCTGGCTGCCATATTAGTGCAAGAAACGCAGACACACCCAGTAATAGTGAGCCAGGGATTTTAATAATTATCGTGTCACAGACACCATTGAATCAAATATGCTAGCGCCTCTCATCTCACCTCACATTTGAGATTAAAGAAGAGGAAAATATCCCCAAATAAAATTAAACAATACAAATAGTCCCATTTAAACCTAATCAATGACAAAAATGTCTATGAATATTTTAGTCTTTCTGTACAACTGTGTCGTCAGAAGCTTAAACTTATTCAAAAAATGTGTAGCTCTCAGGTAAGTCAGTAAAGCTACAACCGATGTTTGACTCAGCAGCTTCAGGCCGCTCTAAGCGTGAAACGAAAACCAGCTGGAAACGCAGCAGGAGGAGGCAGTGAAACAAAATGTACACCAGCAAATTGCATCAAGATGTTTGCAAAGTACTGAATATATGAAAGTTTAGGGAAACCGTGGCATGACGTGCATCACATGATGTCCTAGACCTTTAAGCTCCATTTTTTTTCCCTCCCAAGAACTGAATTTGGGAAATGTCTGCGCTAAACACTAACACACACACACACACAGAGCCGAGGCCACATGTTCAGCAGCCGTCCTGCTGCATCCACCATAGATGAACCCAATGAACTCTGCAGGGAGAGAGCAGGCAGCTAACGGCTGCTGGGAGCAAAGACCAGAAGAGAAGCGGAGCAGAACTCAGAGTCCATTCAATGAGAGGAATCTGAGCAGAAATCAACTCAAATCAAGTAAGTTTCATTAAAATTATATACTTAGCAGCCAAATTTGTGACTTGTTGTTTTCTGCTTGCGTAGATAAAAATCAGAGTTAATTTATAAAGAGAGCCAAAACCTGCATTAATATATCCTAATTGGTAAACGTGTAATCTCTTTCTTCTGTTTTGACCTTTATGCTAAGCAGATGCATGTGGGATCTGCAGAAAAACACCAACTAGTTAAGATAACTGACACCAAACATAAAATACTAGCAGGTCTGAAACTAAAAGACCAAATTAGTCCCTCTGATTCAATGCTGGTTTGTTTCTGACAGGTCATTCAAAGTACTGATGACTTTGCAAACTTTGTTTTAGTTTCAGATTTAATCTAAAGCAACTATTTGGACTGTTTCTCTAAGCTAAAGCGAGGAGTCGAAAGGCATTTGAAAGTTTGGAAAGTAGAGACAGAAACATGTTCCAGAGTAGGGAAGCTTTGTGGAGGTGAATTGGAGCAGAGAAAAGAAAACACCACATGGAATCCGGTTGTTCTTGAAGCATCGAATGTCTCATCCTCTACAGTCGGCTGAAAACATGTAGACCTATGGTGGCAATGAGAAGGAAGTGTGATGAACTCAATGTTTCTGTTTAAGATGTTTGTTTTGAAGCAGGACTGAGATGAAACCTCTTTGGTGGCAGAAACATGGCTTATTTACAGGAAGTGTATTTTTAACTATGTTCCTTATTCCACCAGCTTTAGGTTTTAGATATAAGACAGTTATACGTTCAGTTCATGTTTCTTTGACATCCATTCAGGTTACTTTGTGGTACTGAGTTATTCTGGAGTTCTCTTTCTGTGTTATCTGCCTTTAATAATGTTTTTAAACCTTAAATCACTGCTGTCAAACCTGCATTGTTAAACGCTGATGTATCCTTAAGTTCTCTTCTAACCTTCGCCTTCTGACACATTGTTATTTGAGGCAGTGAAAGTCTGGTCAGAACTGCACATAAAATAGATCCATTTTGCAATAAAGGTGTGAAACCTGATCTATAAGCATGTTAAACTCAAAAGTCCTAAAGCAGCATCATTTTAGCATCCTTAAATATATATATATGTATAAATATAAAATGAGCACCTTTTGCTATTCGATTATCAAGATAATCAAAATTGTTAAAATTCCTAAATTATGATGTTTGATTGATGATGCTGCTTGATCATTAAAGATATAATGATGGACTCTACCGATGCTGTATCCTCATCCAGGTTACACATCTATTGTGTGAGTTTAGAGATACTTTCATGTCTTCATGGTCACCTCCAGTACCTAAACACGCAACTAAATGCTATAAATTTAAAAGATCTGTATTTATCTATTTCAAGATGGAAACTGAAGTAATAAATCTAATTTAAATCCTAGTGTAACATTTTTTGATATTTGCTTCTAAAAAAAGCCTTATGTTTTGTTTTTTTTTTGTCTCATTTAACAACACAAGATATGTATCAACCTCCTCATTAACCCCCACCGGGTCGCCGGTGACCCGGTGGGGCAGGTGGGGTAATAACTCAGACAGCATAAGATTCCAGCGGTAAAATGTTTACCACTATAAACATGTTAGACATCATTGGAAAGCTTAAACCAACGAGATCATTTCATGGACACAGCGAGCATCAAAGCACAGTTAACATAGATATAGCAGCATGGCAAAATGGAAACAAACAAAGCAGCGACGGCTACGTCACTTTAAAGGCGTCCAGAAGCTGTTTTATAAATCCAATCTTCTATTGTTTATACTCCATTCATCCATAAAGGTCCACAGATTAACAATAATCCAGCATATTAGTAATAAAAATATGCTATGATGCGGAAATCGACCATAATGTCCGGTTGTTGAGATCAGAAAGGTTAGCTGGTCATAGCTTATTCAGCATCTTGCTAATATTTACTTCTAATCCTCAGATGTTTGTTATGGTTCTTTACATCTTCTTCTTATCTACAACCAGAAGTTTCTGCATATTTTTATGACGCGATTTGAGCGATATCAATAGTCCCCGAAAATCTCACTTCCGGTCCACTTCCTGTCAGCCAGTGACGCGCGATATGATTGAGGCTTTAATCTCTGGTGTTATTGGTTAAGACCATGTGGGCTGTTGGGCTTTGTAGCCAATGAGGTTTCTAATGAGCCCAAATGTGTGTCATTTATTTAAAGGGGTACCGCATCACAGGCTTGTGTTAGAGGGGCTTATGGCCATACCTTCCTGAGCGTTCCCGGTCTCGGAAGCTAAGCAGGGTTGGGCCTTGGATGGGAGACCGCCTGGGAATACCTGGTTCTGTGAGCCTTGGAAAGCAGATCAGATATTTTAATTTCAATACGGCCAGTTTTATATCAAGTTCTAATGATGAGTATTAGTTTAATATTTATTTGGGTTCCAGAACATATAGGGATTAAAGGAAATGAAATTGCAAACAGGATTGCCAAGGAAGCATCACAAAATAAAACCATTTATATTAGGATTAACTTAAGTAAGACAGAAATTAAAAATATCATTAAACAAACGATGAAGGAGGCAAAAACAACAGGAAGAAGAAAGAAGAGGAAGATGGTTTTATAGGATTCAACGGAAAGTCGGAGAAATGAGGAGAGCAGAAGGAAGCAGAAGAGAGGAAACAGTTATTTCAAGACTTAGATTTGCGCATTCAGGATTAAATAATAAACTATTCAAAATAGGGAAACATGTCAGGAAAATATGAATATTTGGGACAAGATGAAACAGTAGAACATGTAGGGATGTATTGTAAGAAGTATGAAGAAGAATTTGGTTAGAGACCTAAATAAGGAGAAAGTTAAAATTGATTTGATAGATATTCTGCAGAAAAAGTAAAAAATAAATGTTATCAATATTTATTTAAATATTTAATAATAACAGCAATAATTAGGAAGATTTAGTATCCATCCATCCATCTTCCTCCGCTTATCCGGGGTCGGGTCGCGGGGGCAGCAGCCTAAGAAGGGAGGCCCAGACTTCCCTCTCCCCAGCCACTTCTTCCAGCTCTTCAGGAGGAACCCCAAGGCGTTCCCAGGCCAGCCGAGGAACATAGTCCCTCTAGCGTGTCCTGGGTCTTCCCCTGGTCCTCCCCCCGGTGGGACGTGCCCGGAACACCTCACCAGGGAGGCGTCCAGGAGGCATCCTAACCAGATGCCTGAGCCACCTCAGCTGGCTCCTCGCGACGTTGAGGAGCAGCGGCTCTACTCCGAGTCCCTCCCGGATGTTTTCCCGGAACTTCTCACCCTATCTCTAAGGGAGAGCCCAGCCGCCCTACGGAGGAAACCCATTTCAGCCACTTGTATCCGAGATCTCGTTCTTTCAGTCATGACCCGGAGTGGATCTTGTTCACGAATGAAGGAAGAAGGGAGCGAGAGATCGACAGGTGGATTGGTGCAGCGTCTGCCGTGAAGCGGGCGCTGTACCGGTCCGTCGTGGTGAAGAGAGAGCTGAGTCAAAAAGCGAAGCTCTCGATTTACCGGTCGATCTACGTTCCTACCCTCATCTATGGTCATGAAGATTTAGTATTTGTAAAGTAATATTATAGATATGTAGATAAATGAATATAAGTGTCTTTATGAATAGGGCCATTCTGATCCACACCCTTCACTAGTTGGTGGCGGTAATGCACACAGAAAAGTTGTTTGCCAACCGCCATTAAACGCAACAAGATTGTGTTAGAAACACAGACACCAGCAGGTGGAGCCATTGAGCCCAAACCCAAAGCTCTGGAACTGTTGTAACTAGAGGTCTGGAATTTTCCACAGTTGTGGTTGATATGTAGAACAAATATAATACAATGAGACCTGCCTTTTCTCAAGAATGTCTTTATTACTGCTGTTCAAAAAAGACCTATCCTTTCTGACTTAAAAAACAAGTTTGAGTAATGTTTGAACTGCAGCTTGGTCTGTGTTCTACTCACCCAAGAAATTAGAGGGTGTTCGCTTTCAAATAATGTATTGCATATGTTATTAGGGCTTACAGCTTCTAAGTTATATGCTTTTCCATTTGGGTATGTAAAATAGGCGAGAATTTCCCAAAATGTGGTGGACATTAAGGTTAAAGGAATTTATGAAGCGTATTTTAGGGGGAAATTTCTTTGAAAAGATAACTTCATCTATCTTTTTTTCTTTTTCCCAGGAGATCTGGAGGGTCCAGCTAAGTGCTTCCAGCAGAGACAGAAGCAGGAGCCTTCCAGCTCAGAGAGGGCAGATCCGAACTCCCTGCTGCTTCAACAAGGTAGCCAATCACAGGATTTGTCTCCCCTTAGTGGAGGAATTGTGGAACTTATAAGTTAATTCTAAAATTAAATGGAGGGCAAAACATACTGATATAAGAAAGTCTGCAAAGAAGATGAAAATAAATTCACTCCAAACTATAAAATAGTAATATAGGCAGGACTGGGAGTACTGGAGAAAGTGACAGAATATGGTGGGAATAAATAACAAATTTAGACTAGAAAAATAATTCCTGGGTAGAGATACAAGATCATACAGAAAACAATTAGAAAATGTTCTATAACTGATAGAACAGCTGATCAAAACTACCAAAGCTTATTGAACTAAACCCGTTATAATACCTTAAAGGTGTTATTTTGAAGGCTCAGAATAGTCCAGTAAAAGACAATAATCTCAAATAAGACGTTTGCTTATATTAAATTGGTTGCAAGTTTTCTACAGGTTTTTCATTTGATTGAAAAGTGATCAAATCTAGTAAACTCATATCTAATCTCTCATCAGCTGTGATGATCTGCAGCGCTGCAGAGCCCCAGCAGCAGAGGGCGGGGCTGCAGGATATGGAGGACAGCAGAGATCCAAAGAACTTTGTTTCAAGCCACAGATGGACATCAAGCAATGAGAGGTCAGCGCCGCCGGAGCAGAGCCAGGCGGACTCCTTCCTGACCGCAGCCCGGATTGCCCGTGAAGGACTCCTGGAGGACGGCTGGAGAACAGGACAATGTTCAACACATAAAGCTCCTCAGTCCAACTCACAGCAAAACCACGCAGCGTTTTTATTTAGGGACATCAGGGTCAGACGGTACAGCGTCATCTCCAGGGAGAAGATGGAGAATAAAGAGGAGAAACAGAACCCTGAAGGTTCCAAAACGCCAGCAGGTAGACAGAAAGCAGGGTGGTTCAGTGGCTGTAGGCAGCCTGCAAGGTTTAAGGTGGCAGTTTTACCTGTAATAACCGAGGTTTAAACTCTACAGATATGTCAGCTTCCAGATCCACTACTCATTTATTTAAAACAAATCTAAAAGTAAGAAACCAACAGCAGTTTAGTTTAGTCTGAGATCAGATAAAGTCCACCTTTAAATTGTGGCTTTGTCAGATTATAAACTTTGGTAATGGAACATAGAGTTTAAGATTTTAGAACCAAAATGAGACAAAAGAACTGAGAATATAGGAAAGTTTTTATCCAGTTATTAAATACATTAATGTCATTAACAGCCAGATGTTAGAAGAGGGACATCTAGTGGCTGAACATGAAAACAGCCTGACTTTAAAGCTTGTAGGTCAGCTTTCTGTCACCCCTATCTGTACTGTACTGTGTGCCATCTGAATATTAGATAATTGCATGAGTAAAGATATATTTTCAACACCTGATAAGTGTTTTGTGTATTTCTGAACAGAATTGGGCAAAATTGTCTTTGATAAGATCAGAGGAACTGATGTAACATGAAGATTGAAATTAATCAGAATTTTGCCTCCATTAACCAAAAATAATCAGACTGAACTCTGGCAGCGAAAGAATATCGGATGGTTCAAATGCTGGATGTTAAATAAATGTACAGATTTCATCTTTCTAGTTTCATTTCAAAGCTCATTTTAAATTTCATTTACTTTAGGTAACTGGTTAGTTTTTTTTACTTTAAGTTGGTGTTAATATCCCTTTTGTCCATGCACCAAAAAATAAAAAAATAAAAATCTAAAGCTGCACTTTGTTTCATGAATTGTAATTTTTCCAGAATTCTAAAAAAAAAAAAAAAAAAATCTAAAGCTGCACTTTGTTTCATGAATTGTAATTTTTCCAGAATTCTATTTTTTAAATTAGCCATTTTAAAAAACCTGAAAGGGGGTTTGATCAATGAGAAAATAACTCATCTTAATCAAGACTTTAGTCCCGGTTGATAAACTGAAGCCAATATTCCATCATCAGTTCTTCTAGTCGAAGCCGACGTGACGCAAGTCCTCCCAGAATCTTATTAAAAGCTGCTGGATGCAACAGGTTGATGAATTTATACGGCAACATGTTGATAGTGGGTAAAAAGAAACGTTTCAGTTTCCATTAACTTTAACAAAATGAGATTCAAACACTAGCATATAGAAAGCTCCATTAATGCTGCAGGTTTAATATCTATACTGAAGCAGTTATATTTAACAGTAACATTAAGCAACAAAATAGAACAGAGATTTTACCAAATGTGAATGTTTATTACTAATAAAGGCCAGAGACACTGGCTGAGAGGACGACACTGGCAAGATTAAATCTGTCCAAAAGAAGAAAAACGAAACAGGGGGACAATCTAAAATCAGCGGTACTTAAATACTCTAAACAGAAACACCCACATTACATCCTACGGCTGTAGGCCTTCACACGGCAGCCTCATTCAAATGGTTTCACCTATTCTGGCACGAGCATCACAGGCCCCCCAAATTAAAAGAAATTCAACTTAAAGCCCATTTTGATTCAAACCTGCAAGCATCAGAAAAGAAAAAAAAAAATTACTGAAAACTGGTTTTATTTGTCAAAAAAAGCTCCTTTACAGCGCAGCGACTTTCCACCTGTAAAGCCAGCACACATGTAAAATACAACCCTTACAATACATTAGAATCAAAACAGGTACCAAAAAGTACAGTAAAAATTACACTTCCTGTGGAAATGTGGAGGAAAAAAAATAAAAACACACCGAAGGGAAAAGCAAAACTTAAAGAAAAAGGCTAAAAAAAACAAACAAAAAATGCATGGAAAAGTTACATTTCAGATGTTTTCTGTACAAATGGTCTTCCGTCATAAAAGAGGTCCAGTGAGCCCAGTGCGTCCGTCCTGCCGTCGGTATGACTGGATCACCAGAGTCCTACAGGGAGAAACAAACTTTAAATACCTGCTCCTTAGAGCCTCAAACAGAGGATTAACAACCCGGAGTAAAAATAAATAACTCCTATTAGTGCCCACTGTCCTGGTTTTAAAGAATAAACTCTTTCAGTCTCTAAGGATTATTTTAACAATCCAATAAACTAGTTTTTTTCTAAAGCAGGTAAACATCTAAATCAGGGGTCTTCAACGTTTTCCAGGCTAAGGACCCCAAACTGATGGTGAGATGGAGTGGGGACCCCCTAATTATATATATTGTATGAAATAGTGTTCTATCACACTGGTCCTATAGTCACTCTGTTACAGATGGAGTAATTTAATGGAACTAATTTCTCTCTGGGATTATTAAAGTACAGTCTGTTGAATTCATGTTAATGTGGATTTGAAGATATTTCAGTTAGTGGAAAAAATTGCAGGGTGAACATAATAATAAAAAAAAAGGTTTAGGTTACAGCTATCCTATACCTGTTTCATCTCTTTTCTCTGGTTCATTTGTCATTTATGTTGAAGACTATCTAAAAATATAAGTCATGTTTTTAGATATTTTATGCATCAAATCTTGATATTCTCTCTGACTTTTTGAAGAACTAAATAAATCTAGAGTCTATGTTTCTGTTCTTACTATTAAACTTATTGGAACAATAATAACAAAACATTTTTTATATAAACTTCTAATTTCCCCTCTTTTGTCAGATATTTGACTTATTTTTACTCAGAAACGCAGATCTGCATCGATGACTGACAGACATCTTCTGCCTCCATTTATCTGTTTACTACAGTCTGTTGGATTCATGTTAATGTGGATTTAAAGACATTTCAATTAGTGGAAAATATTGCAGGGGGAAATATAAGTCTAATTAACCAAAACTTTGCGACCCCCATGCAGTACCTCTGCGGACCCCCTAGGGGTCGCGGACCCCCTGTTGAAGACCTCTGATCTAAAACAATCAGTAAAGCATAAAATGGCCCCAAAAAGCTCAACTATCTACTGTGAAGCGGATCAGACCGTACCTGCTGCCACCCAGTGATCATCAGTACGGCTTGTAGCTGGTCTGGTGTGCCCCCCGCCTCGGGGTTTTACCGTAGCTGGCGTTCCCCTGGTCTGCGACAAAGACAACATGGAAGTCAGACACTTCGGCGTTTAACTTCCTAACGTCTCCTAAACGAAGCATCTGGGAGGAAAACAACTCCTACATCTCAAACTGCACTAACCCCCCCCCATAAACATCAGCACATTAAGGCATTTCATCCATACCAGTTGAACCAGGACTAACTGGGAGAGAAGGAATGGGGAAATGTTCTATTTATTTCAATACTACCTACTTCAACCATCAAGTTATTGAAATGAAAAAACTCAAACTACCTAAAAAATGACCGATAGTTTAATGAATAAAACTACCAAAGTTCACCATCACTGTCCGCTTACTGTAGTCATAGCCGGTGCCGTATCCATAGTAGGCAGGGGAGTAGTCATAACTGTTGTAGCCACTGTAGCCTCCGTAGCCATAGCCTTGCCCGCCGTATCCCTGGTTCCAGTAGCTTCCGTAGCCCTGGTTCCAACTCTGGCTCTGACCTGAGGGAACAGTTGACTTCATTCAGACCAGGTCTGGAGGCGGGCTCCGCCATGCCAGAGCCGAGGCTCCGCCATGCCAGAGCCGAGCCGAGGCTCCGCCAGAGCCGAGCCGAGGCTCCGCCAGAGCCGAGCCGAGGCTCCGCCAGAGCTGAGGTCTCTCTGGCCTCAATCTTTTCTGGGATAAAATGATAAACTTGCTAATGGAGGCTTATATCGCTCATAGGAACGAGCAAAGACAACTAAAACCTAGAAGTGAGCACATAACCCAGATCAACCTTTAACTCTGATACCGTTCTCAAAGTTAGCTTGTTGGTTTGGGGTCTGAGCTCCAGGAAAATGCGTCAGCCTTTATGTATAACGGGTTTACCTCCACGACCCCTTCCTCCCCGTGCTCCATATCCTCCTCCGCGTCCCGTCCCATACTGCTGCTGCTGGTAAACTTCTTTTGGCTGGGCGATCTTCAGCTCACACTGGGGACCCATTAAGACATTTTATTTTAGCTAACCAGCTATGAGCCAAAGGAAGCAGAGAGACGATTAAAGAGGACTCACCCTGCCACCTTCGATGGTGTGGTATTTCTTCTCCAGACACTTCTTAACACTTGCTTCATCTTTATAAGTGATGAAGATGAAGCCCCTCCTCTTCTTGGATTTCGGGTCGACGGGCAACTCTGTAGCCTCGATCTGCAGGAAAATGGGTCGACGTAAATAACGGAAACAAAGGAAATTCATTTTAATGATAAATATATGGAGACAGTTTGAAGAAAGCCAGACGTGTCAATGTTTCCTTCAGAAGAGGGGATACCCACCTCTCCAAAGGCTCCAAAATATTCCTTTATAGTTTCCTCAGATGCTTCAGGATTCAACCCCCCAACAAAGATCTTCTTAGCAGGCTCTTTCTTCATGGCCATCGCCCTCTTTGGGTCGATCTGACGTCCGTCAAGTCTGTGTTCTTTCTGTTCCAGCACCTGCAGCAACACACGACAAGCAGAAGGTCTGTAACACCCAGAAACCCGACTAACTCACCTTAGGCAGCACACCTGAAGGAGCGAACATCAAGCAGGACTCACTTTGTCCACACTGGAAGAGTCCTTAAAGAGTACGAAGCCAAAGCCTCGGGAGCGGCCGGTGTTGGAGTCCATTTTGATGGTGCAGTCCGAGACTTCCCCAAACTTGCTAAAGTAATCCTTCAGGTCTTTTTTACTGGTATCCCAGCTGAGGCCACCAACAAACATTTTCCTGTAAACCAGAACAGACATTTGACCTGAAACGCCGCTCCATTTAATGTCAAAGGTGGAAGTAAAAGCAGCAGCTTGGACACATTCAACACTTACCCAGCATCCTCCTCTCCTTTGCTGGCGTCGATCTTCCCGCCGTCTGTGCCGCTGTCCTGGCTCTCGTCGCCCCCCATCAGCTCCTGCTCGGCTCCGTTCTGCTCTTCGTCTCCGTTCTGTTCTGAAGTCTCCATGAGCTGATTCTCAGCGTCCGCCATCGTGAAACTGGATTTTTTATGAGAGACTGAAAAGGTACGAAACTTTATTCAACATGGAACGAGGAGCATCTCCTCCAGGCTGCTGTGAATGTTTTACACCTTCTGTTCACTTCCAATTCGTGCAGTTACAAGAATATGATAAACGACCAAAATAATTATCAGGATTTCCTTAAGAAAAAACTAGCTTTGAAAGAAAACACTGAAATAACTGCTGTACATTTCAACCTAAAGCTGTAGACCAATTAGCTTTATGTTAGCTTATGTGAACATTTCAATATGATCCTGTTTAAACCAGAATCCATGCGATTCATTTTCCATCCATTATAAATAGTGGAAAGCATTTATTTTTAAAAGTAAACAATAGATTGATAACGCTCTAACCCAGAACAATAACTTGATTTGGCATCTCTACTAGAGACGGGCGCCGTTTACATATTTCTGCCATCGTTAATCTCAGGATTATTTGCACATTTAGAACAATTCTGCAGATCTTTTTAATGTCAAACGGTGGTTTTGGTTTATTTACTTTGCATTTATTCTCCCACTTTTAGACTGATGACAGGAACAGTGTGCATTATTAAACATTCCTGCAAATGCTCCAGAATCAACCAAAAGGCTGTTTTTCATCTGTTGTTCTTCCTTCTTTAACTAAAGTCTGATTTTGAGATTAAAATGGTTAATTTGATGTTTTCTATGTCAGATGTGTACCAGCCCTAATACACACCTGAATGTTTTAATAAATAACTTTTTAAGTACATTTCATAAACTTGTCTCACTGAGCTTGAAATCTTAATGCGCCAAATTTTACAAAGAATTTCACGAAATTATTTTTCAGACTAAATGAGTCCGTGCAGAAAAATGACCCCCACCCACCTTCCTGTTTCTCTTGATTCCTGTAGTGAAATGCACGATTCTGACGGTATAATTCACTATCTGGTGAATCTTTTCTCTAAATCCCTCCACCAGTATCACCATCATGGCTCTGAACTGGTTTAAACAACCAGCGGCCTTTTTGTTTGATTCTTTTATCAGATTTCTGTTCAATTTAGCAGCAAAGCGAAAATCCCAGCTGATCTATGCGGTAAAATCTACTCTAGTAATGAGAAAAAGAGGTGAAAGCAGTGAAATGTGCAGGTTTATAGGATGGAAAGGTCAGAGCGCCGCAGGTCTCCATGTTGTTCAGGTTTAAGCGGACCGCGCTTTGCTCCGCTCCGGACAGAAGGTAGGCCTCACCGCCAGATTAGGAGCAAAACACCGAGAAATCTCTTTAAAAGCAAAAAACTGGCGGATGTTTAAATACAGCAGGAGGTAAAACCGATGCAGGACTCGTTTAACGGCGTGAGAAAATGAAAGAAAAGCTTCAATTCGTCGTTTTGAATCGCCGCGTTCCTGTCCGTTAGCTTCCTGTGCTAACTAAAGGCTAACACCGAGACACGCCGCAGATAAAAGCCGCCCTCCTGGAAACTAAAGCGCGGCTAATGGCGGCCATGCGGCCCTGAACGCCTCAGCCATCTTTACCGGAGCTAAACACAGCGGAACATGGTGCTTACTTTAGGAGAACAAACCGGGGGCCGCCGACTCGCCGCTCAAAATGGACACTCCAAATTCGCCGCTAACTCGTGGCAAAATATATACGACCGGATATGAGCGAGCAGGGGGGGAGGCCGCAAAGACGACGTCTGTGATTGGATGGGGGCATGTTTTTCAAAATCAAAGCTCTTCTTCTATTGGCTGAGAGGATGAACGCGCTGACAAAAGACAGGATGTTCCTCCTGCGGATCTCACCCTGCTGATGATTTAACCGCTGCATCGTCTTTGTTCAGGAGCGCCTCCGCCATACTATGAGTGGCAAAGTAGAAACTGCTGGGTTTTCTAAAAAAAACATAATTATATAAATATATATGTAATATTTTCATATATATAATATTTTTTTCTGAATTTGGACAAGAGTTCAGTTTAACCCTTTGATGCCTGTTGTTGCTAATAAGCAACAAACCGCATGTATTGCACTGCAAAAAAAGTAATTCTAAGTCATTTTGTCTTAAACTAATCTTTTTTTCTTGAATTGAGCTGAGATACTTTGCCACTAGAACAAGAATATGGACAACATTTAAAATAAGAAAAAGAAAACAATTGCAGTCTCTTAAGTGCATAATATCAAATTATTTAATTTTAGGGGTAAAAATACTCATTCCATTGGCAGATCATCTTATTTTCCTACTCATATTAAGGGTAAATAAACTAATTTAGGACATTTTTACGGTGTTTTTGCATCCCCCCAGTGCTAGTCACAGTGTATGCTATTAAGTAGATATAACTACTGTTAGAAAATATAGTTTACCTTCATTTTTATTTATTTAGTAACATTACCTTTTTAATTTGGCATCTCATTGAAGGGAAAAACAGACACAAAATGTCTTGTTTATGTATATGTATATCAATGTAGGCTTTAAGGGGTTAAAGGAATAAATAAATAGATCAACAGATACAGTTTTATTTTGTTTTGTTTTTTTTTAAAGCAAGTGCTGATTCCCATTATTCTCCTATTAGTCTAAACCATCAAGTTACATGATAAAAATGACACAATGACAAAAAATGTTACACAATTCTCAAATAAAACAAATAAAGACATTTATTAACAAATTAAATGAAACATTAAGAATGGTGGCAATGCATGGCCACTGAATGACGATTCAACAAAGAAAACTCTAATAGTAGCTAAAAATATGGAGAGGCCCCCTCCTAGGGGGGGAAGGCACCGCCATTTTAACAAATCTTGAGTTCTCAGTGGAAGTTAGTTAATTCGGCTTATTTTAAACACCTATTTCATACATTTTTTAAATTTCAAAACAGAAATATATTCTCTAATTGTAAAAATTTTTTTTTACAGAAATGAACCCCAGCTAGTTTGTAGAGATATTTGTTTTGGGTTTGCTTTGTATTTTATTTATATATTAGTTTTTTCACCATCTATACTTTTATCAATAAAGTACAAAAAAGTCTAAATGTCGGTGGACTTAACAGCTAAACCTAATTTACTGCCTTCATAACAGCCTCTCCACTGCAGGTTGACCCTAATCCTACCACTGGTGGATGAGGAACCCTAAACTAAGTTCATTTAATGCAAATTTCATTAAAATCACTTTGTAGAACCAGAACTAAACATGGAGAAGCAGCATTTAGTTCCAATGCTTCACTTATCTTGAACAAACTTCCAGAAAACTGGAAAAGTGCGGAAAGCCTGAGTTCCTTTAAATCAAGACTAAAAACACATTTGTTTAGGATTGCTTGTTCTACAGTTCAACTAAAACATGTTTTCTTTAATCAAACTGTTTTTAATATTCTTTTTTTGTTTCTGTATTTTTTATTTTATTTTTTTCCTACTTGCTTTGATTCTGTTTTATCTTCCTGTATTTTAATCATGTAAAGCATTTTGCCTTGTCTTTGTACTGAATTGTGCTATACAAATAAATTTGCCTTGCCTTGCCTTTGTGACCAACCTTTAGTGTTTTTATTTCCATTGATTGTAAAAATATCAGCACCCTGTCCCTGCAGTATGGGCATCTTTAATGGATAGACTGGCCGATGTATTGGTCCATCTTATGGTCTCTGGATCTGTACCAGTAAGACCTCACCTCTAAAAATATTCACGGTAGTTTCAGTTTCTTCAAGGAACCTCAGCAGTTGCTGTATTGAACCATTATAGAAAATAAAATAGTGAGAAATAATCAGATCATTCCTTCAAAGATGTCAGGAGAAACGATAAATTAAAGATTTTACTGTCTAGATCTGCTGTGTTCAGCTTCTTAAAGACGTCTAGCTTTAGGAAAATAGAGACATTTTTTCTAAATTCATAACATTAAATTTAATGAAATATTTTCACATGGATGCTGCCGTGTTCATTATGCAATGCATTCTTGGTAAATCCTATCGTAGGTTTAGTGCTAGCTTCATCCAGCCAAAACAGAAATGAATAACAAACCTTTTAAGTTTGAACCACAGCGTGTTAAAAATCACACGGGAATGACGAAGTGGAACAAATAAGGAGGGGAGAGTTGAGCGGCTGAAAAGAAGCTGGTGTTTATGGTAATATTCAGGATATTTTCTCATTATTAGGAATATGTTACGGAGATGCTTCTCTGCAAATTTAACGTCATTTATCTGATTTTTGATTCCTGATGGCGTTAGCTCTAGCTAATAGTAAACCATAGGCCGATAACGTTTCAGATTTCTCATCTATCACAGCTTAAGAAAACTGAGGCAGTGAGCAATGTTTAAATACTTGAAATGTAAAATGATAAAAAGTCTGTGGATGTTTGCCTTCCTGGGTTTGATCTCTAGATTCCAGCCAATATGACAGAAAAATAGGGAAAAAATGTAAAGGATTTTTGAATTAATGATTCAAAGCACTGTGTAGGAGCCATAAATGAAAAGATACTTTGATGTCTAAATTTATAGCCATTATAGTTTTTTGTTCTTTGTAGGGGAATTGATCAGTTAGATTGGGAGTTCTGTAATTGGCTGTTTTACTCGCCTGTGGAAACGTCACTGTTAGAGAAATGCTGTATTTTTTGACTGCAAAACAAAAATCGCTGTAATCTACGTTTTTTTACAAGTTATATTTTGGATACGTTGTTTATATCTTTAATGTGAATAAAGTTCACATCAGCACCAAACTGATCTCAGTGGATTCCTTTTAACGAGCGCGTCAGACAAACGGCCCGACCTCAGCAGCTTTGCGTTTCCTGAAGCTGCTGAAAAACACATTTCTAAATAATTAGGAAACTTGCAATATTTAGGCAAACATGTTTAACCAATTCTGGATCCCATGAAGCAGGTAGAAAACTATCCCACCTGCCCTGGGGGCTGCAGAGAGGAAATGCTGGATCAAATATGAAGGCAAATGCAAATTAAACTTTAGATTCTAAAAGAGCAAATAGCCAAAATGAACTGGCCATGCATGCTTTCTACAGAAATACAAAACTGGAACTCCAAGTTTTAACTGATCTGGAAATAACTTTCAACCATCCTCTAAACCTGGTCACCCTTGCAAAGTTGATCAAACTCTGGACAGGTCTCCAGTCAGTCATTTTAAACACACTGAGGGACAGTTTAGTGAAATCAGAAACAACTTTGTAATCTGGTCGGCATGGCAACCATTTTCCTGTTGCAAACAAGTCTTGCTAGTTTATTTTTGGGGTAATATTAGCTTTGAAAATACTTTTCTGCATCCCTCAAGATTTATTCCACATGTAGAATACGTCCAAGAGACTCTGACATAAACAGACTGCAGAACAGTTTCTCACTGCATCAACCACTGAATTTGCAACCAGTATTATTGATTTTTTCCTTCAATTTGATCGACATGAATAAATGAAACCTGCCAATGCTCCATTTGGAAAAAAATTATATTTTAAACCACAATGTCCTGACAGGAACGGGTTGCTAAACAGATGCAAGGCTTAAATAAAATAAAAACCAAACAAGTTAAAGAGGCGGCACGAATAAATTTATTTCTTTTCAACGACATTTGATTCTCACTTTATTCACACTTGATTTAATGGCAGTTAAAAACACAGAAAGGATAAGATTAAAATAGGGGAAGTTTCATTAAAACCTGCTTAAACAGCAAAATATTTTTAAACCATCAATTAAACCAATTCAAATTAACCGATTTAACATTTTGACAAGTGCACAGAAACAAAGTTAATCTTCAGTTTAGTTTAAAGGATTAGAGCACTAAGTTAGGAAGGCAAAGCCTATTTTAAGATCGGGATTTGCAGATCCAGTGGTATTTATCAACACGGGGGCCTGCAAAGGTAAATGTGGTCCGATAGGATTTAAAGCCTTTCTGGTTGGAGAACTGAGACGCTGGATATCCTGCAGAGGAGAAGGAATCAGCAGGAAAACCTTTCTTCTCCCTCAGCCAGGTCTGTGGAGCTCCTGGAGAAAACTCGCTGAACTGCTGACAAGTGGAAACAAAAGTTACTCGAGTCTAAAACTTTCCACCAAAACATTAAAGCATTTTAAGAAGAACTGGGAATGAAGTCTAGATGAGAAACAAGTTGGGAATTTTGTTGAGGACTAGTTTCCTGTAATCAACACACCCGGTAGACGCTGTTGGGGTTGCTGACAGTCGGGATGGTTTTGGGTTCAATGCTGGACGGAGGGCAGGGACCCGTTGAGGTGCGGCTGCTGTTGCTGCTCATGCTCTTGTCCAGGACCCAGTCGTCTTCATCAGAAGAACTTCCTGACTGGACGTCCAGGCTGGCTCGCTCCACAGCGTCCTGGATTCGACGAGAAAATTCCCCATCTCGCCGACTGTCCAACACAGAGACGCAGAACGGAGCGCTGTGCTCACCGTACCTTTAAGAACAAATACGAAAAGATCAGAAACAGCCAGAGCCGCCATTAATCCCCAATCACTAGTTATTGTAGAGTTATGGCGTTACGGGTCACAGGCTTTGCTTATCCTGTTGTTAAACAGTGGCTGGTCTCCTGCTGAATGGTGCATAACCGCCATCTCCTGCCTTCGCTTTCCTCCATGGAAAGAAGTACAAAAAGCATTGAGTACTTCTAACCATGGACATCATTTTTTCTTTTGGGGCAGAAAACTACAACCACTGCGTGTTGCAGTTTTTTTTTTTTCCTCCAGTCTTAAAGGCCATGGGCCATCATTGAGAAAAACTGTAGATGATGCATCATGCAAAATGCCAAAGTTGTAAAAGCAATGCTTTAACTGTACTGAAAAAGGGAAATGAAGAGATCCTGGATGGGAAGAGAACCGTCTTCAAACTTGGAAACGAAGTCCAGTGAATTGTTTTGGGGTTTTTTTTCCCTTTGGATGTTCCCTGCACTTCTTACTGTCCAAAAACAATGTTAGGCTACATTGTACATACATTCGTCGAGCACTAGGACCATGTGGAAAACCAAAGCTTAAACTGAAGCCTGCTTCTGAGTTTAGCCCGCCCACAAGCTCCTGATTGGCTCTGTCTGGTCTTGTGTGATTGGCTGTCACAGCTGTCACTCCTGAGAAGCTCACTTTACAAACATCTGATTGGCCAAAGAGTCTGGTCTGTGATTGGACGGCCAAACATGCTGAAGTTACTCAAAAAAAAAAAAAAAAAAAAAAAAAAAAAAAAAAAAAAAAAAAAAAAATTTTTTTTTCTTGTGCCCCCCCCCCCTTCTGAAATCTGCATTTCATCAATGCTGGTAACTAAGTGGCATAGGATAGAGGAGGAGGTTTGTAACCAGAGGGTTACCAGAACATCAGGTCAGTCCATCATGGTGTCTTTACTGGTCAGGAGAACTGGGCCAAGCAGATTTCACATCAGGGTGTAAAGTGCTGAACATGAAACAGTTCTATAATAGACTGGAAACGCACATTGAAGGTATGACTGAAAGATTAAAGATTAAAGTCAAGTCTAACAGTTAAGCTGCGGCACAAACTGAAGGTTAAGCAGCAGATGATCAGGTGAACAGACCTGCATGAAACCTCTCCTGGGTCGACCCACACGGTGATCTCCAGAGGCAGGCCCAGGTCCTCGTACCGCACCGCGCTCCGCTCACAGGCCTGCTGCAGCACCGGGTCCTTCAGCTGAACACGATTCATACGAAGACACCTGGAACCAGTTAACACCAGATTTATCCACATGATCAGTTTTACACTGAACAGCTTTTAATATTTAACACAACTTTATAATAACTTCACATTTATGAAACATCAAATAGAACCACTTTGGTGATCAATTTGAAACAAGTTCCTCACTAAGGGGGAAATTGAATTCATGGACTGGGTCCTCCAAGGACGCGGTCTACCTGGACTGGATCCTTCCGGAAACTGGAAGAGCTTTGGCTGTGAATTCAAACAGGTCTAGCCTTCAGCGGCTTTTACCACCATAGGCTCTGTTGCTTAGCAACCGTGACACAGAGCAAGAAAAGAATGAATATAGAACTTTTCAAAACTTAATGAGAATGAGGTGCCACCCACCAGATCATGAACAAATAAAATGATATAAGAGGGGTAGAAAGTAAATCTAATATTAAACCCAAAAAAAAAAAAAAGGGGGTTCAGCATATTGTGCAAAACCACAATACATTTTTTTTAATCCCATCAGATTTATAGTCCCCCCCCCCCTGCAGATCTATTAGAATCTGTCCTTAAATTCCAGCCAAACCCATTTACACAGTAACAGATAAAAACCTTTAGATAAACCAAACCGCCACATATCTGACTCTATAACCATTAAAAC